CCCCAGGAAGCCGGAGAAGGGGATCCAGTACCTGATCGAGAGGGGGTTCCTGTCCGACACCCCCGTGGGCGTCGCCCACTTCATCCTGGAGCGCAAGGGGCTGAGCCGGCAGATGATCGGGGAGTTCCTGGGCAACCGGCAGAAGCAGTTCAACCGCGACGTCCTCGAGTACGGGGGGACGCCCCGGGCCGGGGGGGCGGGGGGGGGGGCACGGGGGGGGGGCGGGGGGGGCCCCGGGCCCATCCCCTGGCGCGGGGTCTCCCGGTGCAGCTGCGTGGTGGACGAGATGGATTTCTCGGGGATGGAGCTGGACGAGGCCCTGCGGAAGTTCCAGTCCCACATCCGGGTGCAGGGGGAGGCGCAGAAGGTCGAGCGCCTGATCGAGGCCTTCAGGTGAGGGGGGGCCCTGGTCCCCTGTCCCCATGTCCCCCTGTCCCCCTGTCCCCATGTCCCTGTGTCTCCATGTCCCTGTGTCCCATGTCCCTCTATTGCCATGTCCCTCTGTCCCCCTGTCCCCATGTCCCCCTGTCCTTGTGTCCCCTGTCCCTGTGTCCCTGTGTCCCTGTGTCCCCCTGTCCCTGTCCCTGTGTCCCCGTGTCCCCTGTCCCCATGTCCTCCTGTCTCTGTGTCCTCCTGTCCCACTCTCCTTGTGTCCCCTGTCCCTCTGTCCCCCTGTCCCCGTGTCCCCGTGTCCCTGTGTCCCCCTGTCCCCCTGTCCCCCTGTCCTGGTCCTGGGGGGGCCCCTGTGCCCCATCGTGTGCTCCCCATGGAGTCACCATGTTCCAGGTGACCCTGTGGACTGGGGGGGACACTGGGGGTGGTGACCCCCGCGGGACCAGGTGACGTTCTGGGTGACCCTGTGGGTCCAGAGGGGGCACTGGGGTTGATGGGCCCCATGGGACCAGTTCTAGGGGACCCTCCAGGCTGGGAGGACGTTGAGGGGGTGGCCCACCCTCTGGGTGACCCTACAGACCACAGCCCACGTTCTAGGTGACCCTATGGACTGGGGGGACATTGGGATGGTGCCATGGGGTGACGTTCCAGGTGACCCTGTGGATCAGGGAGGGGACACTGGGGGTGGTGGCCCATGTTCTAGGTGATCCTATGGACTGGAGGGATATTGGGGGTGTGGCCCACGTTCTAGGTAACCCTATAGACTGGAGGGACACTGGGGGTGTGGCCCATGTTCTAGATGACCCTACAGAGTGAGGGGACATTGGGGGTGTGTCCCTCATTCTAGGTGACCCTGTGGATCAAGGAGGGGACATTGGGGGTGGTGGCCCATGTTCTAGGTGACCCTATAGCCTGGTGTCACCTTGGGGTGCTGCTCCACCCTGGGGGTGCTCCCGGGCACCGTGGGGCACAGTGACCCTGTGGGGCAGCATGACCCCTTGGGGCAGTGTGACCCCTTGGGCACCATGACCCTGTGGGGCACCGTGACCCCGTGGGGCAGCGTGACCCTGTGGGGCACCATGACCCTATGGGGCACCGTGACCCCGTTGGGCACCATGACCCCGTGAGACACCGTGACCCCATGGGGCAGCGTGACCCCGTGACCCCCTGACCCCGCGCCCCCGTGGGGGTTGTGTCCCGCAGCCAGCGTTACTGCGTGTGCAACGCGGCCCTGCTGCGCCAGTTCCGCAACCCCGACACCATCTTCATCCTGGCCTTCGCCATCATCCTGCTCAACACCGACATGTACAGCCCCAGCGTCAAGGCCGAGCGCAAGATGAAGCTCGAGGACTTCATCAAGAACCTGCGGGGTGAGGCCACCACAGTCCTGCCGACGTCCCCTCCGTGTCCCCTCCGTGTCCCCTCGGCATCCCCTTGGTGTCCCCTTGGTGTCCCCTCAGCATCCCCCCATTGTCCCCTCGGTGTCCCCCCGGTGTCCCCTTGTCAGTGTCCCCTCACCATCCCCCCAGTGTCCCTTTGGCATCCCCCCAGTGTCCCCTCACCGCCCCCCTGGTGTCCCCCAGTGTCCCCCCAGCATCCCCTCGGTGTCCCCTTGGTGTCCCCCCATTGTCCCCTCGGTGTTCCCTCAGTGTCCCCT